CTAATTAGTAATTTATATTCATTCACACTTCTCTAAACCTCATAAACAGTATTCTGTCATCACTCACAACTACTCTGTAAAGTCTTTAAGCGCAATTCGTATATTTCTTACGCGCAGGCCTACCTTGTTTGTTTGCGCAGGGCTACCTACTTTTGCAATGTTCTGATGCCCGGGACATGCTGAATCGTTTCAGTTAACCTCAAGATTTTAGGGTGTTGTGCAGTTATTTGTATTTCGAACCACGACGCCACCTTTCAGTTGAATTTGTCTTCAGAGGACTGTCTTTCTCCATCATGACAGTTCCACGTTTCTAGATAGAAGCGGGGCATTGGGCGTCTGATGCGTCTTTGAGGACGTCCAGTCCTGCAGTCCTGAAAGTAATCAATCACGCCTTGTACTTCTTCAGGCGTGTTATCACCGCTGTCGTTAAGAACGTCGAATGCTTCTGCCACATATTCTCTTGAGACAAAAGCCAACGCAGACAACAGTCGCATTTTCAATGCAAATTAGACGTCAGTTTCGTACCTTTATTAACGACCATCTGCCTGAATTCTTCGGAATATACACTGCGAAAAATGGAAGAAACATCCTCGATTTCTAGCCCTTGAAAATTCTTGACGAATAATATTGACTATGGCAGATTCGAAATCGGTCATAATTGTTTCTGGTGAGGAGTCAGGTGGAAGCTGTTTCACATGTTGCAGTAACCTAGCATATGTGACCTCTGTCTTGTCTGGTAGTAGAGCGTACTAAAGCAGAATTGAACTGTTCACCTGAATACCATACAATGTGTAGAGTTGGTAAAGCAAATGAGCCAACTATTCCGTCCCCAAACCATTGTTCAGATGAGACCAATAACTGGAGATTTCTTGCGCTGGAAAATATAACTATTCTATTTTCTGTCGGTCATGAGTCAGACAACAAATGGTTCACGTTCATTTTTCTTGTACTCCTTGGGAAATACAATTTTCTCTCGGGTCATACGCGAAGCTGGTGCTGCTTATTTTTTTATTCCGATGTTTCGTATTGTTCTTTTGATACCGTACTTTGCAATAAGTCCTGCCGCAGCTTCGCTAAGTCCCACATACGCATTTGATATAATATATTGGGGTGCTTCTTGGCTGTTTATTGCGCGATCACGTACAACATCTTTCATCTTCAAAGCTTCCGTATCATCTGCATCCTCAGTATGATTGTGAACTCCCTTCCCGGCCTCAGTGCCATCTCCAACTGTAATTACATGAACCCGGCACTTATGCTTCTGATACATCTCACGCTTCCAGTATGACTTGTCAGCTTGTTTTTCGTTGAAAAACAAGTGAGCGTTCACTAAAAGTTTCTGTCTTCCCTTTTTACTCGTGACGAACTGAAGGACCATGACGATTAATGAAGATTCGAAACGGAAGTATCATACTAGAAGACCTTTTTCTAGCTGACAACTTTGAATTTTCTGAGGCTTTATATAGGGGTTAAGCACGGTAATTATTGTGCTCATTAACGTAATCTTTCAAATATGTTATTTCTAAATAATACTGTTGTATGATCATCATAAATAAATCGTCGGCGATCAGTTGTAAAATCGGCGGATTTTGCGGTCGGTGAATTTTCCAGCCGGTGAATTGTTGTCGGTGAACCTTCCATCGCTGAATTGTACTTGGTGAACCGGATACCGTTTAAGTGACCCGTTAGAGATAGCAGTAGTAGTCATCTGACTGTCGATGGTATATATGGAAATTAACTACTGCTGACACCTGGCCATGGGAGTCGGGCATCAGAATGGTTTCGAATTTACAAACTATACCCTGTGAATTCGCTGACTGCCCCTGTGGATGTGTCAACATCATTTCCAGCAACCTTGTCGAAGGGCAGCCATTAGTAAGGTATACCTTTCTGGACTGTAGTTCAGCTTGCAATAACTGAAGACTTCAGCCTCTCAGACTGATGACAAGCTTTGGTGTTTGTTTCATATTGCAATCTTCTGAATAATTATTACTCGAGATTCTTGAAGTATGTTCAGGACGGCAAGAAGAAAGCTTTAGATCACCTGAAGACACGTTGGGTCGCAAAATGGTCTTCCACGTCACTTGCACTGTTCTTCTTATACACATCGCGGTGGCACCATTCCGAAGGACGTTTTGCTCTATTAATTTCAGCATAGTCCAAAACTGATTTCTCTTCCGTTCCATACAAAGGGTAGGGGACTGAATGAATCACTGTGTAAATGACTCATAAAGTTTTATCCAAAAAGTCCGTGGATTG